AACCTGAGGTTGTTCCTGCCCAGATGCAGGATGAGGTCAACAAGGTCACTGTGACTCTGTTTCAAACCAGCTACCAGTACTCCTTAAATAAGAGCAGAGTCAGGACTGTCCAGCGGTGGGGAGGATGAGAGGTGGGGCCCTGGGGTCTGCCCTTTTGTGAAGAAGTCCAAGCCACTGGAGAAGAACAATTGGATCTCAGGACTCTGACTCATGAGCCGAGGTGATTTACACTGTGCCGATTACAGCTGCCTGCCCCACCCCGCCAGAGGTTATCTTGGCAGCAGCAGAGGTGGCAGAACAGGCAGTGCTGGGTGTTGCAGAATATAGCAGTGTAACAAGCTGAAATCAACGGTGGTCAGAGCTCTTTTTATCTGTGGGCTGTGACAGCAGAGGCCTCTGAGTCACGATCCTTGTCAGATGTAACTGTGGAGGCAGGCGAGGTGGGAGGCACCGTAACCTTTCCAGCTCTTGCTGCTGCATCCAGGCACTGAATTACAGCCCCTGCTCTTCTTTATGACAGTTCACAGTAGGGGTGCGAGGCAAATGGTTGGTTGACCTTATTAAACCACCATTCATGTTTCTGTCTGTTCTCCTCTAAATAAGTCAATGATGAGCATTGGAGCTCTGCTGTGGGAGGTCACTGGAGTTCTCAGTAAAATATATATATATAAAAAACAATATAAACGCTCAACTTAACTTTTTTTTTGTTCTTTTTCCCCTCTCTGCTCTTTGTTTCTGCTTTTGAGACGAGACCAAGGCGTGTCTGGAGATCAGGTCTCTATCGTGGTGGATGGGGTCCAAGTGGCGTTGCCGTCCTACGAAGAAGCAGTGTACGGCAGCACAGGGAACTGCATCCCGCCCTCGGACTCCCGCGTGCAGATCGTGCTCTCAGAGGGGGCCGGGCAGAACGGAGCCAGAGAGATGCAGCAGCAGCAGGACCAAGGGGCTCGCAGTAGCTTTGAAAGAGAAGATGAAGCCCCTGGACATTCTGGACTGTGTGAAGCCAGCGGCTCTCAGCGCTCTGAAACTGTTCTTGTGCATCAGGCTGCTACCTCTTCCTGGGTAGCCGGCATGGTTAGCAGTAGAGCTGCTCACAAAGAGGTCCAAGATTCAGAAGGCAGTGACATACAAAGCCTTTTATCGCTCACTTCCTCTGAGGAATACACAGATGGTAGGTGACTTGGGCAAGGGGCACTGAATGAGGCCCTGGTAAGAGCAGGTTCTGCAGTGACTGTCTAGGGTGAAGATGGCAATGAATGCCCCATGTGTGTCAGGCACCAGAGGAGCTTTTGAAGAGCAGTGTCCCAGTCTCCGTGGCATGTTTCACCACTCGGAGGTGCAAGCAGTTTTTAATACAGCCTTCTGAAGTGTGTGGCTCTCAGACTGGGAGCCTGGAGCAGTCTGGAAAGACTGTTGGGGTTCTGCTGCTCACTCTTGTTGTCTGAGCGAAGGATTTGCAGAGAAATGCCAGCCTCCAGCATTATAGTTCAAATATAGTTAAATAGTTGTGTTTGTGGAAAACGAGCTGGTGGGAGTGGGAGGATACGCTTGCAAGACAAATCCTTTGTGATATTTGGGCTACTTCATTTTTAGGCTGCTTTAGTAAGGAGCTTGCCGCCAGAGTGCATACAGTGCTGCAGCCCTGGCCTGTGAGAAGACCTAAAAGAGATGTGCTTGACCTTACTGCACAGGGCAGAGGGGCAAGTCTGTTAGTGCATCTCATGTCCTTGACTTCTGTTCTGCCCTCAGGGAGTGGCTTTGCAATGCTCGAGCTGATGTGGAGCTGCAGCTCCAGATTGCTTCTGCAGAGACTGCAAGAAGTGTAACTGGCTTGTAGATAGCTCAGGGTTAGGGCTTCTCCTTTCCATGGTGTCAAGCCCTACAGCTGCAGCAATGCCATCCAAAACTCTTGCAGTAAAACCAGATAAAAGGGTTTTCTGCTAAAGGGTGGAAATGGCAACACGTCCCAACGTGGGCGTTAAACCTCAAGTACATAAAGAGCAGAAATCCAGAAGTGGAGCTCAATAAAAGATGTCCACGGTGTAGAAATTAGAGGATGCTACCTCTGCACTGTGTCACTTTTATCACTGCCTGAAACATTTGTTGTCTCTAAAGCTGCTTTGTGCAGTGACAGATTGCCCCTTGCAGCAGGAGACCCTAACGCTTGTGCTTATGGCCCAGAGATGAGGAAGCTGCAGCTACTGGAGGACGTTGCATTTCATCAAGTCAGATAAGGGCAGGTGTGGGCCGTGTGTCTCCAGCCCATCCTTGCCACAGTGAGAACCATTTCGTGGGCATTTTGAGGAGCTAAAGTGTTGATGAGGTCATGGGAAAGAAGGAAACTGGAATTTGTAAGGGAAGTTATTGCCTTCCTCTAAACAGTATTGGTGAAGCTTTGCTGGGAACACCGTGTCTTGTGGTGAGACCCCCAGTTCAAGGAGGAGCTGCAGGCCTCTGAAGACATCCAGGGGCTTGTGGGGAGTGACTGAGGGAGCTGGGCTTCCTTAGTCCGGTGCAGAAGCAGCTGAGGGCCGAGCCAGCATTGGAGTACAATGACTTTACAGAGACTTGAAAAGACTGTGAAGCCAAACCCTTCTCAGCCAGGTGGTGTAACCTTGGGCAACGGCTGAAAGCTGCAACTTCATAGATGAAGATTGGTATTAGGAAAATATTCTGTGCTAGGAGGGCAGTGCAGGACCAGGTGGACACCCAGAGGTGATGGGGTGTCTGTCCTTGGAGATTTTCAAGGCTGGAGCTGGCAGTGGTCCTGCTCGTGGGGCAGGTTGGAGCAGAGCGCTCCAGAGGTCCCGTCTGCTGTGTTGTGGTGACAGGAAGACCCCACTGCATTGTAACGCTGTGGAAGTGGGAGCCTGCCTGCCTCTCAACAGTAGTTTTTCTGGTGTGTGTTGAACTGCAAACGTTTGACTATTTTCTCTTCTCTCCCCACCATTCAGATATTCCCTTACTGAAGGAAGCATGAGGCCTGCTGTGTTTGTCTAGCCTTCTCCCTCTTGGATTTCGTCCTCCTCCCCTTCTCCTGCCTTTGGGACAGAAGCACTCTGTGCAGCCTTCCCCGTCCTCGCGAGCTGTACCCTGGATACCTCCAAGCAGAGACGCCCTCAAGCTGAAGATCCAAAGGATGTCGCCAGGTTGCCTCCTGGATGCACCAGTGGGGTTGGTGCAGCGCTGGCTTCCCCATTCCATCTGCAGCGGGGGCTCAAGGAACAGAATGGATTTGAGCTCTCCTCTCCTCTTCCCCAGCCAGATGTTTGACAGCAGCCTCTGAAGAGCTGCTCTTTTCTCGTGCCTTTCTCCTCCTCACACCGGCTTGTTGCAGCTTATCAGCCTCTCCAGCCCTTCTGCTGCCCAGAGAGCAGGGGCTAAGGCCGCTTGCTCACTGGGTGTAGACACTTGATATATACATACGTATGTTATATAGGCTCTTTTTCCAGCATCCTTTTTGTGATAGGGCAGGGCAAAACTCCTCACTGGGACTGAAGCTGGGCTTGGGAGGGACTCCAGTTAAGGGGCAGCCTCAGATGCCACGGGCTGTGTGACAGCTTAGCTGTGCAATAACAGTTCATTGAGCATCGCTAGAGCACTGGGGGCTGGGAAGTCCAACATGCAGGAA